ACAATGGGAGGGAGAGAGGGAGGGAAGGAAGGCTCCCATGCCTGTCCCACCCCCTCCACCAGAGACCCACCGATCCCCCTCACATCCCCGCCCGCACCCCCCACAGGCACCCTGCAACCTGAGTGATGAGCTGGCCACACACCCCCTTGCCATTGACTTCACGTCAAAAAGTTGCAAAAGGTGATCACATGACCCTGGGGATGCTGCAACAGTCATAAGTGTGAAAAATGGTTATAAGTCACTTTTTTCAGTGCCGTTGTAACTTCAAACAGTCACTAAGCGAACTGTTCTAAGTCAAGGACTACCTGTACTTTATCACTTTTTTTCCTTTTTGGGGGGGGTCATCAAGTTTTTGACACCTTGCTGGGCAACTAGTGGTACTCGGATATTGCCTTATCCTAAAAGTGGTACAATGGGTGAAAAGGTTGAAAAGCCCTGAACTAGAGGTTTGTCTCATGGCTGCAATAAGAGGGTTAAACTTGGGCAGTTATTGAAAAAGCACAGAGCATAAGGCAAATACGTTCCTCACCCTTTCCAGCAAGGTATGGGAAACTAAGAAGATAGAATAACAGAGTTGGAAGGTCTTTCTAGTCCAGTCCCTTGCTCAAGCAGGAGATCCTATAGCATTTCAGACAAACGGCTGTCCGGTTTCTTCTTAAAAACCTCCAGTGATGGAGCACCCTTAACTGCTGAAGGCCAGCCATACCACTGGTTAATTGCTCTATTAGGAAACTTCTCCTTAGTTCTAGGTTGCTCCTTAGTTCTAGGTAGCAGCCCCTCAAGTATTGGAACACTGCTTTATTCATACATACATACATACAATTAATTATTTTTTATGATAACAATCTTTAGTATTTAGTAAGCAACACATTGTCTGGGTTTACATGTTTGACATTAATAGTAATACAATTTCCATTCCTTCCCTTTATTCTGAAGAAATACCATCTGAAGAAGATATAATCAAGAAAATCTTAGACTGTGCAGAAATGGATAGGCTCACATTGAAAATGAAGGGGAAACAAGATTCAGAACAATTCCAAACATGGGAACACTGCTATCATCCTGGCCCTTCTCTTCACTAGACTAGACATACCCAATTCCTGCAACTGTTCTTCATATGATTTAGCCTCCAGTCCCCTAATCATTTTTATTGCTGTTGTCTCCACTCTTTCTAGAGTGGAACGTCTCAACATCTTTTTATATTATGGTGACCAAGGGTGGTCTTGCCAAGGCATTATAAAGCAGTACTACTGCTTCTTGTGATCTTGATGCTATTCCTCTTTCTTCAAGGCTGAGAATGGAATTTTCTGCTCTTTTTGAGCTCTTCTCTCACCAGAAATAGAAAAGGCGTAATCACTCTCTATTTCCCCTCCCTCCAATCCCAAGTGCTTTTCTTTAGGGAGGACTGGAGAGGGAATCATCCATGCCTTTTGTGCAAAGGAACAGTACATGTCTCCATCACAGAGCACAATCCCACTTCTAGCTTTCTTGGAGAAAGGCCACGTGGTGGCTGCAGAGAGGGCATCTTTTCCAGCTTGAATGGACTGCCTTCTTTCTGTGCAACAGATGTTGTGGAAGGAATGGATGTCCTGTCTGGCCCTAACAGATATGGGATTGTGTGGCTTGTATCCAGCCCACTGGCCAAATGTTTGCCTCTCCTCCCTTACAATCTCATTCTCCCCAAACTCAATGCAAGACTCAGGTTAGCAGCAACAGCAACCACATGTTCTAGAAATTTCAGGATTTAGGGGGGACTCACACTATTCTGAAGAGACATCCAAGATTACAATTCATCAATTTCATGGGAGCTTAAAAGAAAGTTAGCAAAGATCCACCTCCTTTAGAGGTTAGGTGCTTGGCTGAGGTTCCATTTCTCACAATTTAAACATTATGTAAAAGGAAATGCCTCTGGCTTGTGACACACTCTTCCAGGAATAAATGGGATGCATCATTTAATCTGACACAAGGGGGAAAACCCTAACAGAACAATCATAGAAGATGACTGGAGGAAAATAATCAGGCGCAAAAGAAGCTACACAGAGAACTTTTCCTAGAAAAACAGAGACCAGAAGTCAAGGCCACCCACCTCTGTCCAAGGAGACAGATAAATTCATAATGACTGAGCATCTTTTTCTCAGGTCAGAAATGATAGAGCCCACACACAAGACACCCCCGCCACCAAAACAGACACAGAAAGACTGAAAGGAACTCGTCCTTCAGGCTCACCAACCCGAGTGGTCCAGAGGCTGCAAAGGATGCTCCCTTCTTCTTTTTTCCTCTTCATTAAAGATCCAACAGTTCAGCAGCAGAACTTAGACTGCTATATAAGAGGTCTCAAGCCGAATCCCCAGCACTCCCTAGTAGCAGGGGAGGAGGAACAAACAGGGACAAAGTCTCTGAAGACTCTCTGCCAATTACAGTGGGCAAGAAAGGGTCTGAGCCAGACCCGACCAAAATGGCTCAAGAGCCTTCCTGCCAGGGTTTCCCAGTGGAAAAGGCCAGAAAGAGAGCAGCTGCAGAGAGAGAGAGAGGAGCTTCTCTCCCAACATGGGAGAGCTGGATGGCCCAGCCTGTCATGGCACTGATGGGTGGATGCTGACTGCGAACTGGGGTATTCTCCTACCTCCAAATCTAACCCACTTTGCTACTGCAAACCTTTAAAGTCCTGCCCATCAGAGAGCCAGTACAAGGAAAGCCCAAGATGCCCACAGTCTATGTTGACACAGAAAAGGAGCAGCCACACAATATTGTGCTACAAACACAAAGGGGGGAAAACAGACCACAATTTAAAGAAAATAATGATACAGCCACCTCTCAATTAAGCACAGGAAATACAAATGGAAATGCACAGGAAGTGTCCCAACATTCTTCTCTATAGCATGGATTTTTCTCTTTAAGGATCTATCTATCCCATTCTTTTCCCTGTTACCAATTCTATTTTAAGTTTAAAAAAGTTGCATTTACAATGAAAAAGCTGATAAGAGAAAATACCTGACTTATATCTTCATACCACCTTTCACTTGAAATCATTCTACAATTCATATAGTAATATAAATAATACATTAAGTATAAAATATGATTACGTATTATAGTATTATTTGTTAAATGCGTACATGAGATATGCCTTCACCCCAAGCTCTGTGGGCGAGACCCCCAGTGTTGGTCACCTCCTCAGGCCTCCTGGGGCAGTCC